ACAGGTGGGGATAGACTCTCTGATTGCGGGTTGTCCCCCCGTCCATGGTATGGTTTGTTTGCAATCGTGTCATTACGATTTCGTGAGTCACTATACTCTACCCCAGAACCACACATACACTTCATAACCCCCCCTCCCCCATCACGTGCCTTTTAAAAGTCCCTTGGAGAGGGAATCTGGGCAAGGGCATCATCCCACAGTCACTAAAAGGCGCTGATATTGCCCACACTTTACAAAGGTTGCTGCGAAGTAATTGCAATCTATGCTAGAGATACCTCTAACCTTCCCACATCATCAACATCTCTGAAAGAGTTCTAAGCAGCAGGATTGCTAACCACGTGGATGCACAGCAATTGCATAACCCAGCACAACATGGGTTTAGAATACGTCGCTCCTGCGTCTTGCAATGGCTGAACCATTAACGACGACATTTTCAATACACGTGTGCGACCATGAAATAACAGTACACAAAATACACGAGAAGAGGATAACTGAAAAGTGATTAGACGTATTTACAACTTTCAGAGACGAAGTGCCAGATCAAGTGCAAAATAAACCAAGTGAAAAGCAGAGGTGCGGTAAGCACAGTAAGGGAACACTGTATCAACATCCGTGGCCAAAGATTATTCAACATCTTACCAGAAGATATCGGAAACATTGCTGGGACAAGTGTAGAAGTCTTCAAGAGGAAACTGGACAAGTATCTTCACCAGGTGCCAGATCAACCAGGCTGTGATGGATATGTGGGGTAGTGGGCCAGCAACAGCCTGGACCGGAGAAACATCAGACGAGCCTGGCCCATGGCCGGGCTCCGGAGTACAAAACACTCTCGCAACTCAAAGGTATAGCAATGATAAACGTCTATTCCTCAAGGTACAGTACTTGTCCCAGTTCTGTTTTTCAATGAGTGTAAAGGGACCAAGACTTATGATCATGGGGGCTCGAACCTCTTGACTCCTGGGGAACTAACGCACGCCAGATAGCTCATTAGGTTTAAAATCTATCTACTACACGAGGGTCATTAAGGCTACACATGACCAGTACACCACCAGCCAAGAATAATTTAACACCCGAGATATGAATCAAGGTAATTTCTCAACGTACATACACAGATATACATCTCAGGATGTATATACCCTTATATACATATCACTTATCACTGTATTTGACGCACTAGTACCCAAGTTCGCCGCATAGATGGCGTGACCAATGCCACATTTAGCAAAGTGGATAATACCGTAATTTTGACTGTGTAACTGGAGGCTTTGTGTGATTACTGTCACCGAAGGAACTGTGTAAAGTAAGCGAACTAAGACTGGCCAGTTAGTATTTTACTCGAACTCGCAAAAATTTGATGCCAATATTAAAAAAAATAACATGCGTACGGTTTAAAGTTTTGGAAGCTAGTACCGGACAGTGGCACTCGTGCTGTGAATGACCATGTCACCTAAGACAGTACTGTGAGTGACCATGCCATCATGAAGATAGTACTAGACAGTGCCACTCATCCTGTGAGTATGTCACCATGAAGTCAGTACTGGACAGTGGCACTCATGCTGTAAGTGACCATGCAACCATGAAGATAGTACTAGACAGTGGCACTCAAAGAGTGTCCATACCACCATAAATTATATCAATCCACTGTTGACAAAGATATCCACGGCTGTCTTATCCACCCATCTATCCACCCACACATCCACCCACTCATCCACCCATCCCTCCAGCCAGTCATCCACCCATCAACTGCAGTTGACGGGTGGATGACTGCTAACAGGCGCCAGAGAGCAAGGCCGTTACAAGTGCCTTGCTGTTATGCCACTCTCAGTGACTCATAACATTCACCGATGAATCAGAGGTGACTTACAACGCCTCTCTCACGCCCAGGGTGCCAGCGAGGTGCCGTGAGTCACCCACGCCCACAAGGGCTTCCTGATACCGTCAGCACCGCCCCCAGGTGCTACTGAAGGAGGGCATACACACCAGCCCCGCCAGCAAGGTGAGTCGACCACACTGTAACAACACCTGCGTGTGTGTGTTACACACAGGTGTTTACCCGGTACACAACTGACACACTTGTTGTTTATCCATACACAGGTAAATCTACACGCTGTTTACACACACACACACACACGTTACTTCATACATACTAGACCTACCTACCTGGAGGGTATTCCAGGGATCAACGCCCTCGCGGCCCGGTCCACTATCAGGCCTCCCGGTGGATCAGGGCCTGATCAACCAGGCTGTTACCTGGAGGTTATTCCGGGGATCAACGCCCCCGCGGCCCGGTCCATGACCAGGCCTCCCGATGGATCAGGGCCTGATCAACTAGGCTGTTACTGCTGGCCGCACGCAGTCCAACGTACGAGCCACAGCCCGGCTGATCCGGCACTAACTTTAGGTATCTGTCCAGCTCTCTCTTGAAGGCAGCCAGGGGTTTATTGGCAATTCCCCTAATGCTTGATGGGAGGCTGTTGAACAGTTTTGGGCCCCGGACACTTATGGTGTTTTCTCTTAGTGTACCAATGGCGCCCCTACTTTTTATTGGGGGCATTTTGCATCGCCTGCCCAGTCTTTTACTTTCGTAGGGAGTGATTTCTGTGTGCAGATTTGGGACCATTCCTTCCAAGATTTTCCAAGTGTAGATTATGATATATCTCTCCCTCCTGCGTTCCAACGAGTACAAGTCAAGTGCTTCCAAGCGTTCCCAGTAGTTAAGGTGCTTGACAGAACTTATACGTGCAGTAAAGGATCTCTGTACACTCTCTAGATCTGCGATTTCACCTGCTTTGAATGGAGATGTAATGTACAGCAGTATTCCAGCCTAGAGAGAACAAGTGATTTGAAAAGGATCATCATGGGCTTGGCATCTCTCGTTTTGAAAGTTCTCATTATCCATCCTATCATTTTCTTTGCACGTGCGATCGTGGCACTGTTGTGATCCTTGAAAGCGAGATCCTCAGACATTACTACTCCCAGGTCCCTTACATTATTTTTCCGCTCTATTGTATGGCCGGAGTCAGTAGTATACTCTGTTCTAGTTATTATCTCCTCCAGTTTTCCTTAACGGAGTAGTTGGAATTTGTCCTCATTACCTAATACATTTGTAAAAGAAACACTCCTACAATAAGAGCTATTAAGAAAGAAAAGTCCATAGAGAGAGAGAGAGAGAGAGAGAGAGAGAACCAGTCAGACGCAACTAAAGACGAGGTTACAGCTGTCGAAATAAGACAGGTGTCGGCCTTGTTGTGGTTCCCAGGGCCACGGGGATACTACACGCTATCACCTCTTCATAACACAGGTAAGAATGAACATCTATACTTTTGTTTATGTATAAACTAAGCGAAGAGAAGTGAAAATATTAATTGCCTCCGCTCCTGCTCCACTAGGGAAAAAAAGGTGATGCGCAGGGTAACATGAGCCGTGAGGGTTTAGTGGCAGGTGCAGGGCCACGGTGGTGACTTTCAAGGTGATCAGGGACCCATGGTCTCTTAAAGACCGTCAGGTGACATGAATTATCTCAAGGTCCTGACTTCCGGAAGGGGACTGATTGACAAGGTGGATCGAGGCTGAACCAGTCACTGTGGTGAATGACCCACGCGGGTTTACCGCTTTAGTGTGTAATAATTAACTTCCGGAGGTAAGAGGCGTCATCTGTTCAAGGACACACGCACACACATAGGAGCCAGGAGCTGAGTATCGACCCCTGCAACCACAATTAGGTGAATTATGCGAGTACGTACACACACACACACACACACAACACACACACACACACACACACACACACACACACACACACACACACACACACACACACACACTGGTGTAAGTTCATTTAGAAGTATCAGCTATTTCGACTCGTACAGAAACCGTAGCAATTTGACACAAGATAATGAGGGTTCTATTTGGAAGGTAGAAGGATGGGTTCACTCGCACTTAAGAAGGTTCACCCATCAAGGAAACACCATGATTGCTACTCCCATGACCGGCATAGTCATGGTGGTACTAGCTAGCTAGCTAGTTTCAAGGTTGCTACGTCTAGTAGACGTGGTTATAACACCGTGGTTCCCCTCAGGCTGTGTCACCTTTGTACTTGCTCTGACCTCAACAGCTACAGGGGCTTCCTGACCACCTTCACCTTTGGAGAGGAGGGGATATCTGGGGGAGGAATTGCTGTTCCTCCCCCCCCAAGATAGCAGTAATGAATTGTGGCTAAGAAAACAAAAACAGTTCTTATCTATCAAGTTGTTAAGGGTTAAGATGATACGGTACTGTGTTAAGACGGTACAATGCTCTCTTCTTGAAGATGCTGTGTCCAGAGCATCTTTCTTCTTTCAAGTTTTGTAGACTTTTCTTAAAGCAAATATACAATATATATATATATATATATATATATATATATATATATATATATATATATATATATATATATATATATATATATATATATAAGCTCGTCACCACAACAGTGACCTCACTGTTAAACATCGGAACAGTGAAATACTCACCATAAAATACTCACTATAAAAACACCACAACAGTGAGGTACTCACCACAACAGTGAGGTACCACAACAGTGAGGTACTCACCACAACAGTGAGGTACCACAACAGTGAGGTACTCACCACAACAGTGAGGTATACTCACCACAAGTGAAGTACTCACCACAACAGTGAGGTACCACAACAGTGAGGTACCACAACAGTGAGATATACTCACCACAACAGTGAGGTATACTCACCATAACAGTGAGGTATACTCACCACAAGTGAGGTATACTCACCACAACAGTGAGGTACCACAACAGTGAGGTACCCACCACAACAGTGAGGTACCCACCACAACAGTGAGGTACCACAACAATGAGGTACCACAACAGTGAGGTATACTCACCACAACAGTGAGGTATACTCACCACAACAGTGAGGTACTCACCATAACAGTGAGGTATACTCACCACAACAGTGAGGTACTCATCACAACAGTTTGGTACTCACCCTCTTCTCTGTAAGCTTGTCGCAGCGCCTCATCTTACAGATCTGGTGCGACTTGTCGTTCCTGCATGGAGCGCAGTCCCCGCAGTTGTCCTTGCGCTGGCACCCGACGCAGTCACCGCAACGTTTCCGCTTTTTCTTCACCGGTTTCTCCGGCGGGTCATCCTGCGGAGGGGGCGGCTGTTGGGGAGGCGGGGGTCGAAAACCCCCCTCGGAGCAGGGGGCGGTGGAGGAGTTCATACCGGAAGTAGTGTTGGTGTTGTCGGTGTTGCTGACGGCCGTGGAGGATACGCTGGAAACCTGGCCGCTGTTCTCCGTGCCGGAGACAGAAGCGTCACTCTCCGAACTCTCTAGCGAACCCGCGCGTCCCGCCCGCTTGACTCCGACGCGAACTGGGCCGTCGACTCTTAGCTGAGACGAACTGCCCTCAAATGTCTGTTGTTGCTGTTGCTGCTGTTGTTGGTGGCTGTTGTTATTGTTACTGTTAGTACTACTAGTGCTACCGCTGCTGCAGCTGCTACCGCTGGAGCCAGCAGGAGGCTGTGTGTTGGGGGAGACTTGCGCTGGGGTGGTGGATGAGGGCGCAGGATCGCTTCCCTGCGGGGATTCGAACATGCGGATGTGCCGCTCATCCATCATCTGTTGCTGGATGGTTGGTATCTCCCGCGCCTGCACTGGCGCCGGTACCAAGGGGTAGCGGGCATGCGGAGATGGCAGGGTATTGAAGGAAGGTAGCGGAGAGGGTGTGGTGCTGCCCACACTTCTCTCGGGGCTGAAGGCAGCGAAGGGCGGCAGTTTGTGTGGCACTGGGTGCTGGGGTGCCACATGGTGCCCCGTGGAAAAGGAGTCGCTGTACGTCGGGATGGTGTGGGCGTAATGCGACATCTGGCCGCTGGAAGCGGCGGGGGTGTGAGTCAGCACCTGGATAGGGGCCGAAGACGCCGCCAGCGGGTGGAGGCGGTGGTCGGCAAGACGGTGGTCGGTAGGGCGGTGGTCGCCAGGGTGGTCGGCTTCCCAGGGACGATAGGCACTGTTACCGTCAACGCCCACGACACGTGACGACAGAGAGTCGGAGAACCCGTCTCCGAAGAGCAGGTTATGGGTGTCTAGCAGCCGCCCAGTCAATCCCTCCCCCAACTCCATCTCCACTAGACAGTTGTAGGGAGGGAAGTGGCGTGGGGGAACGTGGGTGGCGTGGGCGTGGGCGGCCTCGGTGTGGGCGTGGCTCACCCCGGGCACCGAACTCATACCTACACGAACACTACATCTGAAACAAAGAGAAATAAAATGATTACCACAAGACTATAAACAGACAAATTATCTCGACGTCAGTGACATACATGTGGTATACCTTACGATATACCATGTGGTATACCTTACGATATACCATGTAGTATACCTTACGATATACCATGTGGTATACCTTACGATATACCATGTAGTATACCTTACGATATACCATGTGGTATACCTTACGATATACCATGTGGTATACCTTACGATATACCATGTAGTATACCTTACGATATACCATGTGGTATACCTTACGATATACCATGTGGTATACCTTACGATATACCATGTAGTATACCTTACGATATACCATGTGGTATACCTTACGATATACCATGTAGTATACCTTACGATATACCATGTGGTATACCTTACGATATACCATGTGGTATACCTTACGATATACCATGTGGTATACCTTACGATATACCATGTGGTATACCTAACGATATACCATGTGGTACACCTTACGATATACCATGTAGTATACCTAACGATATACCGTGTGGTACACCTTACGATATACCATGTACACCTTACGATATACCATGTGGTATACCTTACGATATACCATGTGGTATACCTTACGATATACCATGTAGTATACCTAACGATATACCATGTGGTATACCTTACGATATACCATGTGGTATACCTTACGATATACCATGTGGTATACCTTACGATATACCATGTGGTATACCTTACGATATACCATGTGGTACACCTTACGATATACCATGTGGTACACCTTACGATATACCATGTGGTACACCTTACGATATACCATGTGGTACACCTTACGATATACCATGTGGTATACCTTACGATATACCATGTGGTATACCTTACGATATACCATGTGGTATACCTTACGATATACCATGTGGTATACCTTACGATATACCATGTGGTATACCTTACGATATACCATGTGGTATACCTTACGATATACCATGTGGTATACCTTACGATATACCATGTGGTATACCTTACGATATACCATGTGGTATACCTTACGATATACCATGTGGTATACCTTACGATATACCATGTAGTATACCTTACGATATACCATGTAGTATACCTTACGATATACCATGTAGTATACCTTACGATATACCATGTAGTATACCTTACGATATACCATGTAGTATACCTTACGATATACCATGTGGTATACCTTACGATATACCATGTAGTATACCTTACGATATACCATGTGGTATACCTTACGATATACCATGTGGTATACCTTACGATATACCATGTGGTATACCTTACGATATACCATGTGGTACACCTTACGATATACCATGTGGTACACCTTACGATATACCATGTGGTATACCTTACGATATACCATGTGGTACACCTTACGATATACCATGTGGTACACCTTACGATATACCATGTGGTATACCTTACGATATACCATGTGGTATACCTTACGATATACCATGTGGTATACCTTACGATATACCATGTGGTACACCTTACGATATACCATGTGGTATACCTTACGATATACCATGTGGTATACCTTACGATATACCATGTGGTACACCTTACGATATACCATGTGATATACCTTACGATATACCATGTAATATACCTTAGGATATACCATGTAATATACCTTAGGATATACCATGTGATATACCTTAGGATATACCATGTGATATACCTTAGGATATACCATGTGATATACCTGAGGATATACCATAGATATACACTACCCATATAACCTAGTGATGAGTGTTCTTTCAACGGAAATGGATTAATAACAAAGGCACAATACCGTGACCAGAATACACAAATAACACGTACATACGAGACAGAACCGCTTGTGACGACGTTTCGGTCCAACTTGGTCTAATTCGGACCGATACGAGGCCATAGACGTATCTACGTGCGAGATATCTGTGTATAACTTGTTAGGTCGGAAAACTGGTCAAGTATTTCCTGACGCGGGACTTATGACCTACAGCTGGAGCTTTTGGTCATCTGACCGAGGCCTCCCGCCGGCTTACCCCTCCACCCCTTAAAAATTATGATTATAACAATTAGAAGACTGTGTGGATAACTGGATGCTTATTTAGTCTAAATAATTATAGAGTTGAGAAGTTAGCATACACCCTGTCTGTCTGTCTGTCTGTCTGTCTGTCTGTCTGTCTCTCTCTCTACTCATCTACGACTCACTCAAACACGGCTGTATAAGAACAGAGAACAAAGGTACAAGTGAAGCAGAGACATGAGGGAAGCAAAGGCACGAAGAAACAGGGAAATGAGAAAACAGATGCATGGGAGAAAGGAATGGGGGGAATACAAGTATGGGTCGAAGATGTTCTGGAGAGTAAGAACAGGAAACGAAAATTGGAACTAGAGGAACAAAAGAGAACAAGGGGGAAGAAATGGCCAAGACAGGGAGAAGAGGTGGCAGAGGAGATTGCAACATCTCCACAGGTGCAGTAAGTCAACAACGATCAACTAAGGCAGCCTGAACTAAGCTGTGATTCAGCATCACCTAACAAACACCACCAACCGGACCAGAAGTGCAACACACGTCTACACCAGACACTAGATGTGCAACACACGTCTACACCAGACGCTAGATGTGCAACACACGTCTACACCAGACACTAGATTTGCAACACACGTCTACACCAGACACTAGATTTGCAACACACGTCTACACCAGACACTAGATTTGCAACACACGTCTACACCAGACACTAGATTTGCAACACACGTCTACACCAGACACTAGATGTGCAACACATGTCTACACCAGACTAGATTTGCAACACGTCTACACCAGACGCTAGATTTGCAACACGTCTACACCAGACACTAGATTTGCAACACACGTCTACATCAGACACTATTTGCAACACACGTCTACACCAGACACTAGATGTGCAACACACGTCTACACCAGACACTAGATGTGCAACACGTCTACACCAGACACTAGATGTGCAACACGTCTACACCAGACACTAGATGTGCAACACGTCTACACCAGACACTAGATGTGCAACACGTCTCCCAGGACGTGAAACACAGTCCACACGTCTCCCAGGACGTGGAGCACCTTCCACACGTCTCCCAGGACGTGGAGCACCTTCCACACGTCTCGCAGGACGTGGAGCACCATCCACACATCCTACAGGACGTGGAGCACCATCCACACGTCTCACAGGACGTGGAGCACCATCCACACGTCTCACAGGACGTGGAGCACCATCCACACGTCTCACAGGACGTGGACCATCATCCACACGTCTCACAGGACGTGGACCATCATCCACACGTCTCACAGGACGTGGAGCATCATCCACACGTCTCCCAGGACGTGGAGCACCATCCACATGTCTCCCAGGACATGGACCATCATCCACACGTCTCCCAGGACGTGGACCATCATCCACACGTCTCCCAGGACGTGGAGCACCGTCCACACGTCTCCCAGACGTGAAACACCATTCACACAACACTTCAAACATGAACTAAACACCAGAGCAGCTTCACAACCAGCAATTTCCGGCCCGATAAGGAAAGTGTTGGCGGCACTGAGGCGAGAGAGCCACCACCAGTGCCACCACCACCACTACTACCACCACCACTGCCACTACGATCACCACCACCACTGCCACTACGACCAATGCAACCACTACCACTACTGACACCACCACTGCCATTAGTACAACTGCCACCACTACCACTACCATCATCACTGTTAATCACACACACACACACACTTTAAAGAATCCACTGATCTTGCAACAATATATTCATCAAACTGCAAAGCAACAACACTGCAACTTGCCTTCAGTTTCGTATAAAAAGAATATATGCGCAAAAGTGTCCTCCCACAGTCACCAAAGGCTACAGACTGAGCTGCATTACAAGTGTGTGAAAAATATGGGACAAGTCAGTCAGCAAATAAGTATATATGAAGTCTGTATTAAATCAGCACTACTGAAGTGTCTCCCAGCTCAGGCTGACACTACTGAAGTGTCTCCCAGCTCAGGCTGACACTACTGAAGTGTCTCCCAGCTCAGGCTGACACTACTGAAGTGTCTCCCAGCTCAGGCTGACACTACTGAAGTGTCTCCCAGCTCAGGCTGACACTACTGAAGTGTCTCCCAGCTCAGGCTGACACTACTGAAGTGCTCCCAGCTCAGGCTGACACTACTGAAGTGTCTCCCAGCTCAGGCTGACACTACTGAAGTGTCTCCCAGCTCAGGCTGACACTACTGAAGTGTCTCCCAGCTCAGGCTGACACTACTGAAGTGTCTCCCAGCTCAGGCTGACACTACTGAAGTGTCTCCCAGCTCAGGCTGACACTACTGAAGTGTCTCCCAGCTCAGGCTGACACTACTGAAGTGTCTCCCAGCTCAGGCTGACACTACTGAAGTGTCTCCCAGCTCAGGCTGACACTACTGAAGTGTCTCCCAGCTCAGGCTGACACTACTGAAGTGTCTCCCAGCTCAGGCTGACACTACTGAAGTGTCTCCCAGCTCAGGCTGACACTACTGAAGTGTCTCCCAGCTCAGGCTGACACTACTGAAGTGTCTCCCAGCTCAGGCTGACACTACTGAAGTGTCTCCCAGCTCAGGCTGACACTACTGAAGTGTCTCCCAGCTCAGGCTGACACTACTGAAGTGTCTCCCAGCTCAGGCTGACACTACTGAAGTGTCTCCCAGCTCAGGCTGACACTACTGAAGTGTCTCCCAGCTCAGGCTGACACTACTGAAGTGTCTCCCAGCTCAGGCTGACACTACTGAAGTGTCTCCCAGCTCAGGCTGACACTACTGAAGTGTCTCCCAGCTCAGGCTGACACTACTGAAGTGTCTCCCAGCTCAGGCTGACACTACTGAAGTGTCTCCCAGCTCAGGCTGACACTACTGAAGTGTCTCCCAGCTCAGGCTGACACTACTGAAGTGTCTCCCAGCTCAGGCTGACACTACTGAAGTGTCTCCCAGCTCAGGCTGACACTACTGAAGTGTCTCCCAGCTCAGGCTGACACTACTGAAGTGTCTCCCAGCTCAGGCTGACACTACTGAAGTGTCTCCCAGCTCAGGCTGACACTACTGAAGTGTCTCCCAGCTCAGGCTGACACTACTGAAGTGTCTCCCAGCTCAGGCTGACACTACTGAAGTGTCTCCCAGCTCAGGCTGACACTACTGAAGTGTCTCCCAGCTCAGGCTGACACTACTGAAGTCTCTCCCAGCTCAGGCTGACACTACTGAAGTCTCTCCCAGCTCAGGCTGACACTACTGAAGTGTCTCCCAGCTCAGGCTGACACTACTGAAGTGTCTCCCAGCTCAGGCTGACACCTGTGTGATAGAGTATAACAGGAAAACATAGCTAGCTCTTGTACCCACAATGTAACTATCATATAAAACAGTGTAGCAACACTTCAACCGTTCGGTATAATTGAGAAAAAGTGTGAAAGACCTTGGTGTAGCCATGTGAAATAATGACTAGTTAACGGTCAAAATCGGGCCGAATTTCGTTATATTTGTGTATAGAGGCAAGTTACTGAACAATGTTACCAACACATATCATACCTGATCCAGGAGGGATCGATATGTCGCAATAACGTTTCTCTCGTATGTATGAGTTTTGGGGAAATTATAGGTTGGATAAAACGAACCTAAAAGTGATTGAGAAAAGTGAAAATACTGCGAAATAAGAGACTTGAGCGACATTTCGGTCTCTTCTTGACCATTATCAAGTCACAAAATTTAAAATAACATATAAAACCAAAAGTATTATAAGCCTGGCCCAGGGCCGGGCTGCGGGACACTCCCGAAACCCGTCGAAGGTATACTGGTGTGTTCTTACATAGAAAGGAGTAGAGGTACACACACACACACACACACACACACACACACACACACAACCTTTATTTAATACCTATCAAACAGAACTCTCATTGCTGAGAGACTTCTCAGAGAGCTGGTGGAGAGACCAGTCACCCTGGAGGAGTGAGAGACATCTGGCTCCTGGTGGCGCTGAAGAGAACTTCCTGAGTGAGGCAAACACACACACACATACACACACACCACCACCTGTTGCACCAGCTGTGGGGGAGGGGCGCTCCACCTGTCCCCCTACCCTCACCCAGCTGGCTATGTTACTCTTTGAGTTCTCTCTTTAAACCCAGGACGGTACATACACGTGTGTGTGTGTGTGTGTGTGTGTGTGTTGTGTGTGTGTGTGTGTGTGTGTGTGTGTGTGTGTGTGTGTGTGTGTGTGTGTGTGTCTACAGGTTTAAAGACACTTACATCCTGCCCTTTCGTTCGTAAAACACCATCTTGCTAGTTCGGCAGCTGTAGTAAGCCTTGCTGGGAGACCAGCGTCTCTCTCGCTTTTATGAGACGGAGGATCAAGCCTTAACTAGCACTCTGTGATCCGTAGAGGTCTAGCACTTCATGTAAATTTAATACAAGTTACGATAGTCACCCCCCTCACTCGTTCATCCCAAACTCAACTAATTATTGCACCATCACAGAAAATAGGAACATTATTACACAGGTATCACTACACTACACAGGTGCCACTACACTACACAGGTGCCACCACACTACACAGGTGCCACCACACTACACAGGTAGTGTTAGAACTGGTCAATACAACGGATTATGGCTACAAAAAGTACATTCCCAGGGCCACTGATTTGGTGATGTGTGTCAGGCCATCCATGGGTGCTGTGCCCTGACTGTGGTCGGCTGTGGGCACCACTGTGGGTGAATTCAGACGGCTGTGGACGCTAGTACGTTGGTTCTACGAAGCTGTGGGGGCCTGTAGACGCGACAGTGGGGTGGGTTTAGATGACTATGGGTGCTGGTGTGATGCACGAGTGGGGGCCGCGCGTCTGGAGAGGGACGTGTGGGTAAGAGACCACTCATAGCAAGACTGGCTCTGATGGTGGTGGTGGTGGTGGTGGTGGTGGTGGGGGATGATGGTGGTGGTGGGGGATGATGGTGGGGGCGGGAGAGGGAGAGAAGTGGTGGGTGGCCGCTGTCAAGATCTCTCAGACAGCATGGCGCCTTGAGAGAGGGAGAGAGAGGGGAGAGAGAGGGGAGAGAGGGAGAGAGAGAAAGAGAGGCACCCGCCAGAAACGCAGACGAAGGAGATGGAGCTACAAAAGAGGCTGTGGGATCTTAGTGGAGTGTGTGCCACGGAGGGAGAAGGCCGTGGCCCTCTCAATAACGTTGTGGCCCTCTCACCAACGTCGTGGCCCTCTCACCAACGTCGTGGCCCTCTCACCAACGTCGTGGCCCTCTCACCAACGTCGTGGCCCTCTCACCAACGTCGTGGCCCTCTCACCAACGTCATGGCCCTCTCACCAACGTCGTGGTCCTCTCACCAACGCCGTGGCACTTTCATCAACGCCATAGTCTCACCAACGCCGTGGCGCACTCACGATCGTCGTGGCACTCACCACACACACACACACACACACACACACACACACACACACACGCGCGCGCGCGCGCGCGCACACACACAAGGAACGCACACGAGATAGTAAAAAGGGTTGTAGACAGCAGCAACAGTAGTAACAGCAACAGCAGTAGCAGCAACAGTAGTAACAGCAACAGCAGTAGCAGCAACAGTAGTAACAGCAACAGCAGTAGCAGCAACAGTAGTAACAGCAACAGCAGTAGCAGCAACAGTAGTAACAGCAACAGCAGTAGCAGCAACAGTAGTAACAGCAACAGCAGTAGCAGCAACAGTAGTAACAGCAACAGCAGTAGCAACAGTAGTAACAGCAACAGCAGTAGCAGCAACAGTAGTAACGGCAACAGCAGTAGCAGCAACAGTAGTAACAGCAACAGCAGTAGCAGCAACAGTAGTAACAGCAACAGCAGTAGCAGCAACAGTAGTAACAGCAACAGCAGTAACAGCAACAGCAGTAACAGCAACAGCAGCAACAGTAGTAACAGCAGTAACAGCAACAGCAGCAACAGTAGTAACAGCAACAGTAGTAACAGCAACAGTAGTAACAGCAACAGCAGTAGCAGCAACAGTAGTAACAGCAACAGTAGTAACAGTAACAGCAACAATAGAGTCCTCTATCTTGTAGAAAGTCACCTGTATGTTACTTGTAGTGTTTGCAGGAGGGTCAGCGCCCCCTGGTCCCAGACCAGGCCAGGCCTCCTGCCTGATCTACAAGGCTGTTGGTGCATCTGCAGAGGTATAGACTGCAGTGCCTGTGTACGAATGTCAGTGAACAGTGATGTACACTGCAGTGCCTGTGTACGTTAGTGATGTACAGCAGAGTCTCTGTACGTAATGTCTTATAGTAAACAGTGACGTAGGCAGTGTAAACAGTGACGTAGGCAGTGTAAACAGTGACGTGGGCAGTGTAAACAGTGACGTGGGCAGTGTAAACAGTGACGTGGGCAGTGTAAACAGTGACGTGGGTAGTGTAAACAGTGACGTGGGCAGTGTAAACAGAGACGTGGGCAGTGTAAACAGAGACGTGGGCAGTGTAAACAGTGACGTGGGCAGTGTAAACAGTGACGTGGGCAGTGTAAACAGTGACGTGGGCAGTGTAAACAGTGACGTGGGCAGTGTAAACAGACGTGGGCAGTGTAAACAGACGTGGGCAGTGTAAACAGAGACGTGGGCAGTGTAAACAGAGACGTGGGCAGTGTAAACAGACGTGGGCAGTATAAACAGAGAAGTAGGCAGTGTAAAGTGACGTAGGCAGTGTAAACAGAAGTGGGCAGTGTAAACAGTGAAATGAAAAGCGTGTTGAAAATACTTGACAATGACAGGCAGGTAATAATAATAATAATAATAATAATAATTATTAGACCTACTACATTAAAGCCCCCCTCCCTCCCCCCCAAACCACCACCACAGTTTTAGGAAGTTCAATTCTCCTCTCGTTGCCTTCCTTCCACCCCTCCCCCTACTGTGACTCTGATGATTCTCCCCTGACTCAGCACGGGAGTGGTTGGGGGAGGGAGGGGGGAAGGGAGGAGGGAAGGGAGGGGGCAAGGGAGGGGGGAATCACTGCAGTAATGTCTGATGGATAGTGGAAATATTGGTAAGGGGGTATTACTGGTCTCCCCCCTTCTCCTCTATCAGTCGATCCCCCCCCCCAATTAACACCGTTAGTGAATGGCTCATACGGGTTTAACGCACTGCTTGCCTGACCAGTCAGCAGTGGAGAATTCTCCCCGTGTCAGCTGACACCGGGGGATTCCCCCCCCCCCTGGTGACACGTCATGACACGTTCCGATGCGCAATGATCTCGCTGCGTCAATAGATGCGTCACTTACGCATGCTTATTACGCAGTTAAGCGTATCAATGCGTATATTTGCAACAGACTGCGTTCAATTTCTTGAAGACTTACTTCCTTCTACATAGGTGATTAGAAAAA